GATTTAAGGGATTTAGTCTTAGGCCAAGTATGCATAGCTTCCACCTTACTAGGGTCTATAGACACCCCTGTAACAGAGATAATATGGCCTAGATATTCCACTTTAGTCTGACAAAAAAAAAACACTTGGAGAGTCTTGCAAATAATTGGTTCCTTTGCAAAACTTCCAAAACTAATTGTAAATGTTCAACATGATCTGCCATACTGCTGTTGTACACCAGTATATCATCAAAGAAAACTAAAATAAACTTTCTAAGGAAAGAATTAAATAATTCATTCATAAGAGTCTGAAATGTAGTCGGAGCATTAGTAAGGCCAAAAGGCATTACCTTAAATTCATAATGGCCTTGATGTGTTCTAAAACCAGTCTTGTAAATGTCTTCTAGTTTAATTCTAATATGTCAATAGCCTAACCTCAAATCAATTTTTGAAAAGTAAATTGTCCCATGTAGCTCATCCAATAAATCTTCTACAATAGGAATAGGAAACTTGTCTTTGATAGTCAGACTGTTTAATTTCCTGTAATCCACACAAAACCTCCATGTGTCATCCTTCTTTTTAATAAGAAGGCAATGAGAGGCAAATGGGATTCTTCTAGGTTAAATGACAGAAGAAGAAAGCATTGTAGTTATCTGTTTCTCAACATCAGCCTTCTGATTGTGAGGAAATCTATAAGGCCTCAGATTAACTGGTGTACCATTAGGTTTAAGTGGAATGACATGATCATGAGACCTCTGAGGAGGTAGCCCTTTAGGTTCAGCAAAGACTGAGCTGTATTTCTCCAATACATGTTGGAGTTCCATAGGAATAGAAGAAGAACTTCCTGCCATAGTCAATAGGACAATATGTCTCATAATATCATAATCCCCTGCACTTTTTTAATAATGTAGCCCCTAAAATTTGTTGCAATTCAGTTAAGGGCTGCTGTCCTTGAATATAAATATGCTTTCCTTCATGATCAAAACAAGTCATATTATTGAAGTCCATTAATATTGGACTAAATAACTTCATCCAATCCAATCATAAAACCATATCACTCACACCCAATTTAAGTAATCTAAAATCATGCAAAAATGTATGTCCCTGCATTTGCCACTGTACTTGGTTGCATCTAGCAGTACTGAATAGTTGCTGACCATTAGCCACAGTGATGGCCAAATGATAAGGGGTAGTAATCTGAATGTCAGCATCAGCCCATTTAGGAGCCAAGAAACTGTGTACTACACTATCAATTAGGATATTTAATGATTTTCCTTGTATAGAGCCCTAGATTATCAATGTAGTATGACCAATAGAGCCAGTAATAGCATTCATAGAGATTTCTAGGGTTTATTCTTCTATTTGTGGAGACTGATATGAGTCTATAGGCAAAAATTCAACTGTGTAAGTATCAATTTCCACAGAGATTACTAGGTTAAATGACAGAAGAAGAAAGCATTGTAGTTATCTGTTTCTCAACATTAGCCTTCTGATTATGAGGAAATCTATAAGGCCTCAGATTAACTGGTGTAGCATTAGGTTTAAGTGGAATGGCATGATCATGAGACCTCTGAGGAGGTAGCCCTTTAGGTTCAGCAAAGATTGAGCTGTATTTCTCCAATACATGTTGAAGTTCCATAGAAATAGAAGAAGAACTTCCTGCCATAGTCAATAGGACAATATATCTCATAATATCAGAATCCCCTGCACTCATTTTTAATAATGTTACCCCTGAAATTTGTTGCAATTCAGTTGAGGGCTGCTGTCCTTGAATATAAATATGCTTTCCTTCATGATCAAAACTTAAAGTCATATTGTTGAAGTCCATTAATATTGGACTAAATAACTTCATCCAATCCAATCATAAAACCATGTCACTCACACCCAATTTAAGTAATCTAAAATCATACAAAAATGTATGTCCCTGCATTTGCCACTGTACTTGGTTGCATCTAGCAGTACTGAATAGTTGCTGACCATTAGCCACAGTGATGGCCAAATGATAAGGGGTAGTAATCTGAATGTCAGCATCAGCCCATTTAGGAGCCAAGAAACTGTGTGTATTGCCACTATCAATTAGGATATTTAATGATTTTCCTTGTATATAGCCCTAGATTATCAATGTAGTATGACCAATAGAGCCAGTAATAACATTCATAGAGATTTCTAGGGTTTCTTCTTCTGTTTGTGGAGACTGATCTGAGTCTATAGGAAAAAATTCAACTGTGGAAGTATCAATTTCCTCAGTAATCATCTTCAGCTGTCTATTTTTACATTGATGACCTAGGAGGTATTTTTCACCACATTTAAAACAGAGATTATTCTTCCTTCTGTACTCAATAAGATTCTTCTTAGGGTTTGATACTGTTGTAGGTCTTGTAGTTGTTGGTAGTGAAGATGGTTTAGAAACAGTAATGGGATTTGGGTAGGGTGGGGATTTAAAAGAAGGCCTCAACCTTCTGTTCTCAAACTCCACAGATAGTTCATAGAGTTTAGCTTGCTTACTTGCTTCAGACAAATGTTTAGGATCTAAAGCCTTAACCCTATGCTTAATATCATCTCTGAGTCCACTAATAAAAAGTGACACAAAAATTCCTCAGTCAAAGTAGGATTCTACAAAAGCATATGAGGTTGTAACTCCTCAAACTTCTCTTGATAATCCTCACATATCCTTTATGAGTTAGCTTAGTGAATTCCTCCACAATATCAGAAAATACCTTTCACTAAATCTATGACAGAGATCAGCTTCAAACTCATGCCAAGTTACATTATGCTTCTGCATAATATAGCCATCAAACCATATTTCTGCTTTTCATGTAAGATACATAGTAGCCACCTCAACTCTATGCTCTACAGGAAAATTGCATAGGGAAAAATACTTAATGAACTTTTGAAGCCACCCCCTAGGATTTATTCCTTCAAAAAATGGCAGTTCAATTTTAGGTATGTGATACATACTCCCTGAACTGCTAAATGAACCCCCTAGTCCCCTGTTTTCAGCTTCCAGCCCCAGCATAATAGGTTTAGTGTGACTGTTTTCACCCATTTGATTTTTAGGCCTAGAATTGTTCCTAAGGGCTAAACATGCATCAGGCTTATCTTTCAAAATCCCAGGTTCATCAGTCTTATAAGTGAATTTTGATTTACCCTTCACTACAGTAAGCAAAACAGGATTTTTCTAACCATTTTTAGAGTTATTAGGAGTTTGTACCTGATCACCTACAGACTGCTCTTGTTCACCATTTCTGCCAGTTAATATCTTCAATAACTCCTCCACATAGCCTTGATTAGTGGACATTCTTGCCTCTAATGCAGTAATCCTATTTTCTTGAGTCTCCCACCATTTAGGTGGATTAGTCTCATCTTGGCCTTGTATCACCAAAGCAACTAGGTCTTCAATCTGTTTTTGTATCCCAGATAAATAAGTTTCCGCCATAGATTGATTTTTCTTTGGCATCCCACAAATTTTTTTGCCAGAATCGAAGCTCTGATTACCAAATTGTTATGGAATGAGAGAAATAGAGTAAGATTCGAGAAAAGAATGAGAGAAATTAGAGAAGAAAATAATCATTCATTCATTGCATAAGGGAAAATGTTGATTTCACATCAATTTTATTTAGTTACAGGCTGGTACAGAGAATTTAACAATGCCAACTAGCATTTTATGCTAACAAACTGCCTAATATACTGATTCATATCATTCTTTGGCTATTACAGGTACTGGGCCATCCTGGTTGGGCCTCTCCACGTTGCCCTAGATATCTTCGGCATGCTTCAACATATCAGGTAACTCTAATCCCTTTTCTCCTCGTGCTTCAATTCCCTCTTTCATTTCAATTCCCAAATTACTCTCCATATTCTCTAACCCTTGTTCCTCTTCCATTCTCAATTCATGCTCGTTCGAATCCTGCTCCTTTCTTCGATCTTCCCTTTCTTCTCCAACTGTAACAGTCTACAATTTTCTTTATCTTATGTATATATGCGCTAATGCCATGCTAACCACTCACATTCAAATGCATGCAGAGATGTACTTTTCTTATGCATGCATAGAGAATAGACTGATTCAAAAATAGACAATGAAAAGAGTTAAATTATCTAACTTTAAAATTAATAAATATTTAATTCAAAATTTAAAAGATACAAGATTTAATTTAATAAGTTTCAAATAAATATATAAGACTAAACTTGTCATTAACAAAATTTTGTACTGAATGACTTCATCCCACAATAAGATAATTAGGTTGAACCTTAAGGTTCCTACATGGAATTAGATTTTAAAACTTTCATATAATCTAGGTTCTTTTTATACTTTATAAATAATTTAATTTTGTATCCCTAAAATTTTATAATTTTATACTCTTAAATTTCTAGTATGTATTTCAAAAAATTCACACTCTAACCTATTGTAATTATATCATTATATAAATTAATTTTGACATATTAATAGCTCGTATTATATAATTCATGTATTGTTATAGGTTGTTATCATGTTTTATTTGATTTTATTGTGTCATGTTCAAAGTTATCTAACCTATTGTTTATGCATATATAATAGGTTTACGATGCGTTTATCAGACAATCAACTTCAAGCTATGATGCAGATGATACTACAAAATCAACCCTAGAGTCCACCATCTTAGGTGTTATTATTTTTTATTCTAGTTAACAATGTTGAACTATATTATGTTTTACATTAATGTAAACTTTGGTTTATTATTAAGGATTTCAAGTTTGTTTTCTGCATGTCAAGTTTATTAGATAATGTTACAGGTTAAATTTTGGTAACAAAAGAGTATAAAACAACATTTGAAAAATTATTTTTAATTCATAGCGTTTTTATTATATAAAAAAAGCCACTAAATACATAGTTAATACCGGCGTTTTTGAAAAATGTCACTAAAGTTTAAATCTTTTGCGGCGTTTGCTTTTATAAAGAAAATATCACTATATACATAGTTAATAGTGGCGTTTTACATTAAAAAAACGTCAATATATAACATAACATTTAGCGGCATTTTGAGAAGAAACACCACAAAAGAAAAGATAAATAGTGGCGTTTGGAAAAAATGCCGCTAAATATCATAACATTTGCTGCGTTTGTTTCAAAGGTGCTTTTTGTGGCATTTGTTTTTGCACCACAAAGGGTTTTAGTGACGTTGTTGAAAACATTTTGATGTTTCGATATAACAAATTAAGTTAAATGAATTTTAAGATTTTACAAAAGATTTTCTAAGTATATTAGATGTAATTATTCGAATATCAAAATATTACTCCAAGTCTTTCAAAGTTCATTTTAATCCTTTCTAAAGTGTAAAATTGTGTTTTATACTTAAAAAAATTTCAAAACAATTTTACAAAGTATTTCGAACCGTTTCAAAGCCAAAAATTCCAGATTGTCCATAGGGAACCGATTCCCCCTGAATGGTTTGACTCCGAGAAAAACAGAATGCTCGGAGGGAACCGACCGATTCCCCTGATCAACGGTCGAAATATTTGAATTTTACACTTAGGGAACTGATTCACTATGAGGGGGTATCGATTCCCCCCACGCTCCAAGTTGTTTTATTAATTTATTCTCATCCCCAAACGGCTCCAAAACATCCCCAACAGCTATATACGACTTCAAACACATTCCAAGCTATAAATACAAGCTAAGGACACTTGAAGAAACAAGAGAACAACCATCCAAGCAATCAAACACAAGAGAAGAGTTTTTCATTCTTATTTCATCTTTCTCTTGTAAATATTTTGTTCTTGTGAGCTTAATTCTTGTAAACACCTACCTTAAAGAGGTTTTCTTGTTTACATTTCTTATCTTTTTGTAAAGGGGAAAGGTTCTAGTTTTGCCCGGAAAAACTAGGGAGTTTGTAAGGTTACTCTTTATCCTCAAAAGAAAGAACAAATTAGTGAATTTGTTGGAAAATCCTTGGTGAAGAGCTAAGGTAGTGGACGTAGACTTTGGTTGAGAAAGTCGAACCACTATAAATCACTGTGCAATTTTCTATCTTTCAATCTCCTTACTCCCTAAACACAAAACCCTTCCAACCCCTCTTTGCAAACCATTCCGGTTGTCGATTCGAGCTTCTGAAAATCTCAACAATTGGCATCAGAGCCTAACTCGTTAAGAAGGTTTAACCACCTTTAGACGGTCCTCGAAGAAGCTCTACCAATTCTCGACGCAACCGACAAAGAAATGACTTTTTCCTCCAGTGCTTATTATCTTGAAGAATATCCTATTATGGATTCACAACCGGTTAACAAGTCACATTTCTTCAATGGAGCAAATTATGCCCATTGGAAGAATAAGATGATGTATTTTATTCAATCCTACAATCTAGGAGCTTGGAACTCAATCATGGACGGTTACTCCTCTCCACCCGACAAGTACAACGACTGGAGTAGAGAAGAGCAGAAATATTTACAGCTTAATTCTAAGGCTATACATATTCTATTATGTTCTTTAGGCCCAAATGAATATGGAAGAATCTCATCTTGTTCCAGTGCCAAAGAGATTTGGGATAAGTTCCAAGTCACTCATGAAGGAACCGACGAAGTGAGGGAATCAAAGAAAAGTCTTCTCAACCATAGCTACGAGAACTTCAAGATGAAACCCGATGAAGACATCAAAGCTATGACGGATAGATTTTCCATGATTGTCAACGGTCTCAAGAGATATGGAGAAGTAATCCCAAATGAGAAGCTTATGAGGAAGATGATCTACTCTCTTCCAAATGAGTGGCAATCAAAGAAGACGGTCATTATCGAAGCAAGAAACCTAAAGTCTCTCACTCTCGACGAGCTAATTGGCTCCCTTCTCACTCATGAGATGATGGTGAAGGAAGATGAAGAAAATGAAGATAAGAAAAACAAGAAGAAGAAGAAGAATGAGGAGGTAGGCATTTCCTTCAAATCCACCAATGAAAGCTATCAAGATTCAAGTGATGAGGTGGATGAAGACGATGATGAACAAGAAGAAGAGATGGTCAAGCTCTTGAAGGAACTCAAGAGATTCATGATTTCCAAGGAAGTGAAACATGAATCAACCAAGAAGAAGAGTCCCCCGGTATGTTTCAATTGTCAAAGAAAGGGGTATGTCAAGTATGAATGTCCTCTTCTAAAGAAAAAGGTGAAGAAGGCATTTGTTGCATCTTGGAGTGATGAAGATGAAGTAGTTAACCTATGCCTCATGACCACTCAAGAAGAATTCGATGTATCTTCTAACTCAAATGAATTTAATTCATTTACTTTTGATGAGTTACAAGATGCTTATAATAGGTTGTATTTGGGATTTGAGACCATGAATTCCAAATACATGAAATTAATTTCAAAACTCAAAATTAAAGATAATTTGATTTTGAAAGCAAAAGTTGATTTTGAAAATCAAAATGAAATTTTGAAAAATAATTTAGAGATTTCAAAAATCAAAATAAATGATTTAGAAAAAGAAAATTTTGAGTTAGGAGTTAAGCTTGAAAGCTTAATAAAAGAAAAAGAATTAATTTCTAAAAACAACCTATTATGTTTAAATATGGCAAAATGCTCACATTGCCATTATCATGGTCATATGGAACATACTTGTCCTTTGAAGAAAGGAAATCGTTTAAAATTAGACAAGTATGGGTTCCGAAAGGAACAAGGGGCATTGAAACTAAAGTTCTAGGATCCAAAGCAATTTGGATACCAAAATGTACTTAAAGGCCTCTTGTAGGTGTGTAGGAGCAATGGTGATGAAAATGATGATATTCAAGATGCTCTAGCCACACATGAAAAGGAATGGGTAACCTCTAAGCTTAATGTTTTTTATTTTAGTTATTTGGTTGCTCATAGGATTTATGCATGCATGAGTTTTGATTTTAAATGATTATGCATTGTTTTTAATCTCATGTATGTTAAAAAAATTTTGGTTATGATGAACATTTTAATTTTTTAATGAATTTTTTTAGTTCATCATAATAAAATTTTGGTCAAAATTGGTTTTAATGCAAATGATATCTCTCTAACAATTGTTATCAATTTTTTAAAAACTTTGATTTTACAAATTTCAAATTTTTGACCTAAATTTAAATGTTTATGCATGTAATTTAAATGAAAATGATATCTCTCTAATAATTGATATCAAAAGTTTCAAATGCATAACATTTTTGAAAAACTTTATGCATATGCACTTAATTTCAACAATTGGTTTTGCATAAAGTATTTTAGTCTTGAATATATTGAATTTCATGTGCTACTAACATGTTTGTTATTCTTTGTAGAAATTCAATTTTTTTAAGTGTTAAGTTCTTAAAGCTAAATTTTGATTGGAATGCATTTATTGAGGGGGAGCTTTGATTTTTCAAATGATTTTTAAAAAAAGTCAAATTTACTACTTACTCTCCAAAGTTATTTTGAACTTCAAAGATTGAATTCTTTTTGATTTAACAAAAAGGGGGGAGAAGTGTTAAGGTGTTGAGGGAGAGAAGTGTTAGAGTAAATGGGAGTAATTTCAAACTTGATTTCAAAATCTTAAAATTACTCAAATGTTTTGTTATATCAAAAAGGGGTTATATCAAAAAGGGGGAGATTGTTGAAAACATTTTGATGTTTCGATATAACAAATTAAGTTAAATGAATTTTAAGATTTTACAAAAGATTTTCTAAGAATATTCGATGTAATTATTCGAATATCAAAATATTACTCCAAGTCTTTCAAAGTTCATTTTAATCCTTACTAAAGTGTAAAATTGTGTTTTATACTTAAACGAATTTCAAAACAATTTTACAAAGTATTTCGAACCGTTTCAAAGCAAAAAATTTTCAGATTGTCCACAAGGAACCGATTCCCCCCTGACCCCCCTGAATGGTTTGGCTCCGAGAAAAACAGAATGCTCGGAGGGAACCGATTCCCCCCTGATCAACGGTCAAAATATTTGAATTTTACACTTAGGGAACCGATTCCCTATGAGGGGGTACCGATTCCCCCCACACTCCAAGCTGTTTTATTAATTGATTCTCATCCCCAAACGGCTCCAAAACATCCCCAACAGCTATATATGACTTCAAATACATTCCAAGCTATAAATACAAGCTAAGGACACTTGAAGAAACAAGAGAACAACCATCCAAGCAATCAAACACAAGAGAAGAGTTTTTCATTCTTATTTCATCTTTCTCTTGTAAATATTTTGTTCTTGTGAGCTTAATTCTTGTAAACACCTACCTTAGAGAGGTTTTCCTGTTTACATTTCTTATCCTTTTGTAAAGGGGAAATGTTCTAGTTTAGCCCGGAAAAACTAGGGAGTTTGTAAGGTTACTCTTTATCCTCAAGAAAGAACAAATTAGTGAATTTGTTGGAAAATCCTTGGTAAGGAGCTAAGGTAGTTTGACGTAGACTTTGGTTGAGAAAATCGAACCACTATAAATCGATGTGCAATTCTCTATCTTTCAATCTCCTTACTCCCTAAACACAAAACCCTTCCAACCCCTCTTTGCAAACCGTTACGATTGTCGATTCGAACTTCCGAAAATCCCAACAGCTTAAAAATGCCGTTATATGACTGAAAAAACGCCGCTAAAAACTTGTTTTGCTGTAGTGACGGGCATGGATTTATGCATGCCATGCAGGGAGCAACCAATTCTTCCTGTTCGTTGGGGCAATAACTAGCTCATTTATGTACTTGTACTTGTACCATACGAGATTGATTTCTCAGTTTTCTTTTCCTTTGGAGCAGCTCATGCCCACTGTGATGACGGTAGATAAAAAAGGTTCAAACAATTTTAAGCTTATGGTAAGCGAATCCGAAAATTGTGAAGATGTTGAGGACTTTTTTTGCGGTTACCACGCATTTCCCTTAGGCCATATCGCAGAAGAAATGGGATACTACAAGATGATGCATCAGATCTTTAGAGTATTTGTACTCCGAGAGAGGGTTGGCAGGGACACTCGTTCCCCTAAATGTTTCAAATTATATTTTTTATTGATAATTCTAAAATTTTATAAATTTTTCCCAATCATAAAATCTTGTATTCGTCTCCATATTATATGTCCAGATTATATATTTATATTGGTGCGAAAGTTCCAGGCACTGCAGCTTCTGTTGATCTCATCATGCATGGACTGTTAAACTTCAAATGTAGATAGATATTCGTATTACTTTCATATTGTCACCCGGTTCTATCTTATGATATAAAATCATTTTTTCTGTTCCAAATCTATAGTGGAAGATTACAAAGGACTAAATTATGGTTATTGAGTTGGTTACAAGAAAACTAAGTTTATATGACCATGCAAATTTCTGGTTTTCACTTTCATGTTGATATCAAAATCTAAGTGGACATTGTACATTTGAATAGATATATGGTAGATCTAATCATAATTAGTTTCTTTTTTAGTCTACAGGAGCCTTTAGAATTATGATACTACTATACGAGTGTAAGAAGAGTTAAAGTCCTTGTCGAAAATCTTGGCGTTCCGCTTCTACATGGTAGAACAACTAGGATGGGCATGAGTCGGGTTTGGATCGAGTTTCGGCCAACCCGACCCAACCCAACCCAAAAAGTTTACATTCTTCACTCGATCCGAAATAATAAAAATATTATTTTTATTCAATAAAACAATGGTTTAATTGAAAAAATAATACATAGAGGATTATTATTATAATTATTCCTAAATATAAGGTTTTTTTTTCAATTTGGGTATTTTTCACCTTAAACCCGAATCCGACCTGACCCAACATCACTTTTAAAAAATCTGGCGCGATCCAATCCGAACCCAATTTTTTTAAAAAAATATCTAACCCGATTGGGTCAGGTCGGAACCTGTCGGGTTCGAGTCTTATGCCTATCCTAAGAACTACTAAGGCAACCTATCATTATTTGCTCAATAGATTGAATCAACGTCTTTTTGGGTGGGCTGTGAAAACTTTATCCTTAGCCGGTCGGATAACTCTTGCTAAGGCAGTTTTACAGGCCATTCCAATGTATGTTATGCAGGCTACTTGGATCCCTAAAGCCTTGTGTGAGGAGATGGAGCGGGTAATTCTTCGTTTTGTTTGGGGATCGATTAATGGGAGTGTGGGTGTCCCTCTTGTAAATGGGAAGCAATGCAAACTAGCAAGGATAATGGTAGTTTGGGCATGAAGAATCTTCATATTCAGAACCGTGCTTTCTTAATGAAAGTGGCCTTTCAACTCGTTACTAGGCCACATAAGTTGTGGCTACAAACGATCCGTGCAAAGCATAAGCGGGAGGATCCGTTTCCACTTACGATTCAGCGAAGGAGCGGCTCGAGATTGTGGAGGGGTTTAAATCTCATCTGGCATGACCTTACCGAAAGTATTTCATGGGTCATTCGTGATGGTACAAATACAGATTTTTGGTATGATCATTGGCTGTATGATGAAAATCGCTTGATGTTTTCCTATGTTGGTTCGGACAGCCCAAAACCAATGTCCGTGAGAGAAATGACTCTTCCTTCAGGGTCATGGAACTGGGAGATGCTCTCAGGGACCTTACGGGAACATATCCTGCAGCGTATTGCTACTATCTGACCACCCCAAGATCATTCGGGATCTGATATCCTGGCTAGAGATGGGAATCGGACTGCACTTTCTCTTCGAATTCGGCTTATGGGTACTTAGCGCAACCAAATGGGAAAGGCGACCACAAATGGTTGAACTTGGCTTGGGATTTGGAAGTTCCACAAAGAATTCAAGTGTTCATTTGGCTTGCCTTGCACGATAGTTTACTCACGAATTCGGAACGGTGCAGGCGGCATTTAATTACCGTGGAGGAGTGTATGATTTGTCACAGGGGTGCCGAGAACTTGGATCATGTTTTGCCTCATTGCAATTTGGCTAGGTCAGCTTGGTCCAAGGTTGTTCGAGCCGATGAGTTGGGAACCTTCCTCTCTATACCAATGAATGAGTGGTTTGTGCGTAATCTTAGCTCAAGAGGTAATTTTGCTTACAATAATAATAATTGGCATAGTCGATTTAGTGTTTACTGCTGGCAGCTGTGCAAGGAACGTTGCAAGGTGGTTTTCGATCCGAGCCACATTGAGAGAGAGGATTTCATCGTCAGATGCAATCGGTTTGTTGAGGACATTTTCCGGGCAAACGATATAATGAGGAACTATAATACGGCGGTTGGAAGCTCACGCGGTGTGTGGGTAAGGCCTTTAGTTGGTTGGGTTAAGGCGAACTCGGATGGTGCAGTCCGAACGAATGATAATATGGCGGCAGCAGGGGGTTTATTGCGAGACTCAGATGGGAACTGGCTATTTGGGTTCTCTCGTAGTTTGGGTAGATGCTCAATCCTCGTGGCAGAACTTTGGGCTGCTCATGATATTCTCCTCTATGATTGGGACCTTGGTTATCGAAGGATTGAATTGGAAGCGGACAATCTCGAGGTTTCGAGAATTTTATCATGTTCGTCAGACGCTCTTCGTGGAAATTCGTTGGTGGCATCTCTTCATGAGTTGAGAGAGCATGATTGGGCTGTGCGAGTTCGGTACATTCGTCGGGAACAGAACCATGCTGCCGACTGCTTGACAAGCCTCAGCCGTGGTGCGCCGATTGGAGTGATGGAATACCAGAATCCACCGCAAGTGTTTGCGTCGACGCTGCTCCAGGATTCAGGGGCATCTAGTTGATTTCGATGTTATCTGTATTAGCAAAAAAAAAAAAAGTCCTTGTCGAAAATGTTTTGAATAGTTTTGTAAATTACTATTGAAGTATTAGTCAAGAAGTATAATTTTATCAAACCATCTGTTATTATGTTTATTTACATTTAATGGGTTTTTTTTTAAATCCATTTAATGAGTTTGAATTCAACATATCAACCCTTTTTCTTAGCGAGGAGACAAAAAGGCTGAACAAGAAAAATGAGACTTGAACATATTAAAGAAATAAATATCAGTCGAAAGACATTTACATTATCAAGTTGTACTTGAATGTGTTAATATCATGCAGGTTGCAGTCCATGAAAAAATTTCTCAAAGTTCTCAGGGAAGACCTATTAGAAGCTTATTATTCCTGGATCTCAAGTGTTTCTGTCATGAGCAAATTAAAGGTGTATAACAATATCCAGACACATAAATCGCCATGGGGCCAATCAAATTGCTGGAGATATTTCCCAAGGATATCCTCGACACATAGTGTAAGTGGAGTTAGTCAGATAGTGCAAGAGTCGAACCCACAATCCATCGTCCAATCACTTTCGTTGTCATTGCTTTTTTGGCCCCTTTTTGTTTCCCTTTGATCTCCCAAAGAATATAACTGTCAGTTCCGGACATTCTAGAATCTTCCATGCCATGCTGCTTCTGTTCTCTTCATTGGCATTCCATGATACATATATGCCATGCAACCAGCAGCAGCCCATTCTTTCAATTTCTTAATCTTTTTTGGTACCAAAACTACCCATTTGTAGTTGTACCATTAACATAGGGACTGATTTCTGTTCCTTTGGACTAGCTAATGCCCAACGAGATGATGACTGTAGATCGAAAAAGTCCAAGTCATTTTCTTCTATCAATTATAATAAAATGAATACTTTAAAATGGTAAATAAAATAATTTCCAGATTATATCGGCAAGGGGTGGTGGCGCAATTGGCTAGCGCTTAGGTCTCATAGCTTCTGAGTTATCCTTAGGTCGAGAGTTTGAGCCAATCTCACCCCATTACCTGTTTTGTTATTTTTGAACTGACAATCTTCAAGCTACACTACACATGAATTATGTATATTGTCCAAAAGTTGCAGTTTCTTCATATATTAGCATAGCTTAGACTACTCCCAAAATCCGAAGTTTTGACATCCTTCTTTACCTTTCTGATTTCTTTCATTGGTTCATACAACTGCTAGTTCAAACTTCAAACCCTGCACAAGCTTTATGATTTTTCATTTAATTGCTAGGCTGATCAGCTTAAACTCTGCAAACTCTCCGAATACGCAAAACAAAATCTAATTTCTCATTTTGAGCCATCCACAACTGCTCTACGGGCTCCGTTGTGGACACCGTAATCTCACGGGTGAGAACACTGCAGTGAGTCGAGCATGATCTGAAAGAGAGTAGTTTTCGGGCCATATCCCTTTCTCCACTTCACGAGGGAAGAGAGCTGCATTCTTTACTGCAAAACCAATAGCCTCTTCTTCATTACCTTCATTCGAGTCGTCCAAGCTGCAATCATCGTCCGGATCTTCTGACCATGTATAGTTCCAGATTCTCTGTAGTGATGTAAACCGGTTACTAAATGCTTTATTCTATGTTGTTTAAGCACATAAAGGTTTACAACATGATAGATACATGCAGCAAACCTTAAACTCTTCATAATCTAAAACACCATTTCCATCGAAGTCTGCCTGGACCCAGAGATCTTTCGTATCCTGGAAACTTAGTCCATAAGAAAGACCTGTTAAGTTTACCTGTACATGGTTCAGAAAAACCTGAGAATTTTATCCCTGCAATTATACTAATTATATCGAGAAAGTGAATAAAGAGCACCTGTCTAAGAGCCTCACAGAAAGCCGAATAGGTTATATAGTCGACATTGTTGTCAGCCCTTAGAAAGGCAAAGGCATCTCTTTCGGCCAATGAAGCCTTTTGAAGTTGAAACTAGAACCAAGAAAACGGGTACCGAATAAGTTACAATGTGAGGTAGAAAGAATTTGGAACAATAAACTAACAGATTAGTGTGAAAAATGCTGAACAAACCTTTATTATGCCAAAAGCTGCTTCGGCCCAACTTATCTTTAATGGTTTTCGTGGCTTATTAGGATTACGAAGCCATATGAAATCGACACTGCAGATGTTTCCTCTATGATTCCGATGACTAACCCACTGTAGGATATATGAGCAACATGTTTAATCAGTAGGCACTGTATATTTCAACAATATAATGGTCTGTTAATGAGATGCTAAAATCTGAGATTGAATAACACTAACCTTGTCAGCATATACACTGTTTGTATATTCATGAGCAATATCATAAGATGACACAAATCCCTGGGACCTTAGGAACTTGTAGACATGCCCACGCTTGCTTCCGTTCCAGTCACTGAAAAACAAATAACATTGAGAAAACAAAATAAAATGAGACCAAAGCAAAAAGAAGAAGAAAAAGCACCCATTGCTGAGTAGATCATTGAATGATGAAACTGAAGATAATGCTTACCCGCATAGTATGACAGGCATGTGGGTGACTTTGTTTTCTTTCTGATATGTTTCCAGATATAGTAATATTTGATAAACCTATGATGAATACCAAAACTGCAGATTAAGTATGGTTTGTATCTTAGAAATGAAACGAACAATATGTCAAAGAAGATGATATTAATCTACCTGGTGCAGTCTTACTACCGATAAACTGGAATCGTGAGGAAACAATAGGTGGGTGTTGACAATAATAGTTTCTTGTTGAACACGGGTATTCTTATTTATTGAAGAAGGGAAAACTGATTGAACATGTAACAATTGAGCAACTCGGTCTCCACAGTCATTGAAGAGCAATTCTCTATAATTTAAGACCCTGAAGTAGTCCTTGTGTATAGCAGTTAGTAAACCTGGGGAAGTAAATAAGAAACCCCTATCAAGCTCAATTTATAAACAAATTCTTAAAATTTGCCTCCATTGTTAGAAGAAATCAGTTAAAGAACTCATACCATCTCCTCGGTTGTTGGTTCGTGCGAGTTTGAAGGTCTGGTAGTCTGCAGCAGCAAGCCTATCTTCAAACATATGCACCAATTCCTCGTTTCCAACCCAAAATTCCTAGCCATTGAATGAAACAAATACATATTAAATAGATACTCATGACATCAGAATAGAAATAATGGCTGTTAATGGATGAAAGGGCACATTGAAAGGAACCTGGAGACAGATGATGGAAGAACATTCATAGAGCAACCAATCTAGAATCCTTTCATTTCTAGCTAACCAAAAGGCTCTAAAATCACTCTCTCGTATGTTGGGATTCTGTTGCATCATCACACATGATAAAATGAGATTAGCAAATCTTACAAAGGGAGAAGAAGACGAAGAAGAAATCACCTGCTGATCCAATCGCTTGTAGATGGGAGCCAGGATGTTGAATGTGGTACAGGAAACACAAGGCTCTTGTTCCACTGGTGATGAGATTTTACCAGATTTAGTCCTCATAATCGTTCCTCTATATGAAACACTCATTCTCGGTTGAATCCACGTTAACAAATTCAGGGTCGTAATAAAATCCTGCCGACACCTTTTTCGAAACAAAAACATCGTTACAGTAGGTATAATTCAAAGGGAAAAAAAAGATACAGAATCCCAAATAAGCCAAAAAGATTCCAGATTTCCACATACCATTTCGAAATTATTGCTACTTGTATAATTATCTTTGTTGTTGTTCAAAATTTAAGAATTTGGTCTCTGGCTTGTGGGCAGAGAATGATGCAAGTATGCCTTGATTCAAATGTTCCAGAATCCAAATTGTTGACAAGAAAAATAAATAAAATATATACAAGAAAAATAAATAAAATATATGATGGAGAAATGAAACATATAATTCAGGGAGAGGGAGGCAGCCCAGGTCCCTCTCCCTCAAGCGTATCCTTCTCGTGGGGGGAGGTAGTCTATGGTTTATTATCGTCCTTTCTGTTTCATCTTTTAACTGTAACAACATTCTTCTTCTTCCATTTCTGGTGATTAATTTTTGGGGTAAATTATCTATTCACCCACCTATTTTGACGTTTTGGTTATAGTTACCCACCTATTATTTTTTTATTCGACCAATAAGAGGGTGATAACAGGAGGAAAATATCAACCATGGCCACTTTGACTTAAAGCCAGACACTAAACCACTGGACTAAGTATAATATTAGTGTTATTTACCCCCGAACTTACATTTAGTTTATATTACGTTGTCGTGGTAAAATAAGGATCAAGGAGCATCAACCGACTTACTTAAGTAGTTAAGGAAATCGATGTTGTTTTTAGAGGTTATGGGTTCGAACATCAGCGACTGCAGCAGAGTGATTGAAAGTTCATTGTGAAATAATTGAGAGTATTTAAAACAGATACTATTTTATAATCATCTCTTAACTTAATAAAAAAAATTTAGGAAGTGTTTGGATGGGGGAATGTGGGATTCCCATGGGAATGGAATCCACATTCCCCCGTTTGGTTAGGTCGGGAATCCCATTTCCGGTAATGAAAGATTATCAATAGTGGATTTTTTGGGGTATATTACCGGGAATGTCATTACCTCCATTTTCTTAGGTATTATTGGATTACCGACGTTTTGGACTAAAATGCCCTTAAATTTTTATTTTTTTTAAAAAATATTCTTCTTCTGTCATTGAATGATAAAAATTCTACGAATGTTAAATTACAAATTTATCCTTAAATTATTTTAGATTTTAAAAAAAATCTATAATTAAAATTTTATATGAAGTTCATAGATTAAAATAAAATTTTACCCTATCATTAAATTTTTTTTATATTTTTAATTTTGTAAAAAAATTATATAAATATTATGAATTTAAATTTTTTAAAGAAAATATATAAATATTTTTCAACTTGTAATATTATACAAATATATAATAAAGACAATTTGGTCAAATATACATTTTAATAATCTTTTATTCCTTTAACCAAACACGATAATCTTACATTCCTGCTAAGCCAACCAAACACAAAATACAACATTCCCAGTAATCTTATTCCCTGGTAATCTTACATTCCCACTGGTAATCTTACATTCCGTGAACCAAACGCACCCTTAAGGATCACTATTTTCCTTGTAGTAAACCTAATTTATTAATTTCATCATTATCATATTTTCTCACTAACTTAATATTCGAATAGTATTAAATTATATCGTTGATTGTTTTGACTAACAAAACTGTTAGTTTTTGTTTATGTGAATGCTTGTTTTTACATCAACTAATATTACTGACGTGACTCCACAATCACGTATCATTCATTAAAAAATAAATAATAGAATATTTTAAATATTTAATAAATATTTACTAAAATATTTAAAATATCTCATCTCGATGGCCTCCACTGCAAGCGACGGTAACAAGGGAGCAAGAGACAGTGAACCAGTGTCGGACGGTCGATGGCTGGAAGAAATATAAGAAACTTTGATTCCAAAGAAAACGAAAGACTAACATGAAAACGACATCTACTCCGCTACTATAATCAAATAAATGAATAGATTTGTGTTAAAAACACTACTAAAAATCCAAATCTTCTATACCAAATTAAAAGATCAAGAATGAAACTTTGATTCGAAAGGAAGCGAAAAGATTAACATTATTGTAGTAAAGGATAAGAAAATGATAATGAATCCATTAAAACTACTGTAAAAAAAAAAGCAAACCCATAAATCAAATCTCCATAAAGGAAACGAGAACAAAATTTAAGTGAAAATCATTAATAGTTAAAAAAGAAAAGGAAAACTTAGAAGGAACAGACCTTACTAGGATTCAATCAATGGAACGAAATAAGTATAAATGAGATCTAAGAAAAATATATTGTGGGTTATCTCCCAAAACGTAGAGCCTTGTCTTCCTTCGTAACGAAGTCGATTGTCACCTTCTTTCTGATGTCGACACCATCAAATGGTCATCGATCATGAATGAAGGTGTTTTACTTCGAAGGAGTCGAGAAGTTTTTCCAAGATTTACAGCAAACTACAGTAATTTGGGGAAACAGACTTCAGATCCATGATTAAGATGTTGAAGCGAGCCAACTGGTAAAATTTGGTCTTGATCAACCACCGACGATGACGGTCAATACGGTGATCACCAGTGATCGATTGGTGAAGTGACCTGAAAACCGATGGAGCAACCGTGCATGAGAATGAAGAGCAAGGGTGAAGGGAAAAGAAATAAAGTGAAAAAAATATTAAAATGGTGATACATATTTGCTTCGAAAACTAAGTAGTTTTGGGATCATAACTTTAATCCTTCGACGTGAAAATAGCTGGCGTACACATAAGCAAAAACTAACGGTTTTGTTAGTTAAGATGGTTAACAGTATAATTTAATGCAATTAAATAACTTTGAGGATTAAATTGATGCGATAATATGATAAGGGTGAAGTTGATAAATTGGATCTATTACAGGGGCAACAGTGATCTTTAAGTCTAAAATAAATTATATTTGTTGAAACTAGGGATGAGTATAGGTTAGGTTCGGGTTCGCCACTCGAAACTCGACCTTACACAAGTTTAGGGGTGACTTCACCCAACTCGAATTCGGCCCAAACTTTTGATATTAAACCCGAACCCGAACTCGACCTGACCCAATAAAAATAGATAGGGGTGTAAAAAACTGACCCGACCTGTAAAACTGACTAAAACCGAATCGAGTTAAAACTGTTTTTGACATGCGCTGTGACGATCCGAAATCGACTTGAGTCGGAATTGGTGTTGACCTGAACCCGAGTTGGACCTAGAAATTGTAAACCTACATTCGATCTGAGAACGACCTGAACCCAAGTTGAACCGAAAATATGATACCCGAACCCGAACTGCATCCGACTGATATGAACCCGAACCCGAGATTGACCTGGTAAATAACTGGTATTACCCGACCTGTTTTCAACCTGACCTGTAATTGACTCTACCTATAAATGATCCGACATGTTGTTAAAGTGATATGATATTATCCTGACTTATAAGTGAAGTTACAATTAATATAATTATGTTATTTTAAATTTATAATAAACTTATGATAAATAAATTATTATGATGATTAAATTAATATGATTATTTTTTAAAATTTTATCATAAATTATTATGATAATCAAATTAATATGATTATTTTTTTGAAATTTAGTTTTATATTAATTATAATTTGTATATTATAAATTTGATTTTTATGTTAACTCCAATTCATAAATATCTTTATATTTATTATATTATAAATTTTATTTAAAATCACTAAATTAAATTTAAATATTATCTTATTAAACTTGATTTTATTGAATTATATTAACTAAGTTAAAATATTCATAAATCTAATTTACTTTTAATGTGAAAATTGAATAATAATTTTAGTAAACTTAACTTGATATTTTAAAATCAAAATATATTAATTAAAAGACTTATTAAATATTAAAAACTTGAATAACATTACAAATACTAAATAAATGTTTATAAATGAAGGTAATTTTATTACACTTGAAAAAAACTAAAATTACAATAAAATCAACTAAACAAAATAAATGTATGTTGAAATAAATGCTCTCAGATCTTATAGCTAATGTTTACGAGGCTAAAAAGCCTAACTATACTACCAGAAATATCATCATCGAGCATATACCTAAATGATGACAACATGTTTAATTATGGGCAACTTTCTAACTTTAAAAGCCAAAATATCACCAATATAATTAAACACGAGTAACTATTTAGATAAGAAATTATAAGGTTCTAAAATTGATTTAAGTTAGACCAATGACAATAATTTACAAGGCATTAGTGAATAATAGACAACAACAACAACCGGCAAGCATCAATGTACCAATTTAGCAAGCATCGTTGCATCGATTCAGCAAGCATCCTGCATTAAGAAAGCATACAATCAGTGGTAAAGCCAAAGGAAAAGACTTATTAATAAACAATTTGGATTACCTTTACAACGAAGACTCGTTAACCATAGAAAGGTATTCTTCGTCCTTATCCTCCGACTCAAAACCACAGAAAAGTCTTATGCTTTTCATGTTCCAACATGCAATACTTAGAAACAGTATACCTAAATATATCCTTAACAGAAGAATTAAGGTAATGATGTAAATCCCTAAGTTTTTCATGCTCAACAATACTATATGCATAACCATGACACATAATAACCTCAGCAAACAATTCACAGTATTTGTTTTGATCAAAATAAGCTACACTAACAGGATTTTCAGCAAGAAAATTCTTATATGCTTCGCATTTCTCAGTATGCCTTTTAGGGTAAGAAGTACCAATATAAGAATCAGCTTTATACCTTTTAACTTTGCAAAACTTACACTCGGCATAAACAGAACCATCATCAGATTTGGTGAATGTGTAGTGGTCCCAAACAGGAGAGGTTCTTCTCCCAAATTCGGATGAACCAGTGGACTTCCTCTTAGAGGATTTATTTAAATCAATTGCTTCGGACAATACATCATTGATATCCCCTTACAAAAAAAACATGATTAGTTTACATTACAACAATAAAC